CCTCACCCGGCCCCTCACACACACGCGTGCACACCCCCTAGCCCACCCCCTAGCCCAAACCCGCACACACACCCGCACACACACCCTACCCCACACCCGCACACACATCCACACTCCCCCCCCCCCCACACACACACACCCGCACACACACACACCCGCACACACACACCCGCACACACCTGCTATCCTTGAATCCCAGTTTGGCCGCATAGACCTCACTATTGAAGGTCGCCTCAAAACACCAGTACGGCAGGTATGCCGCAGTCAAACTGCTACTTGTCCATTCCCCCGGCTCACTGCTGCTACTGCTGCTGTTAGCAGAGAAGCTACTGCTGCTGCTGTTAGAGGGACTGCTGCCCCCCGGTCCCGCCCCGGAATGGTGGGGTGTGCCCGGCTGGGGCGCGGTCGGAGAGGGGCTGCTGTGCGCTTGAGGAGGCTGCGGCGGAAGCTTGAGGAGGCTGTGCGCGTGCAAGTACATGCAGGTTTTGCGTTGGTACTCTTCGAAGCGGCTTACGGCTTCTGAGGCGCTGATTTCGAATTCCAGGACGGACACCGGAACCCCCCGGTCCATAAGGGCTGCAGGAGGGGAATGCCAGGATGAAGGGAGTAGCACCACAAGCTTTGTCAAAGCAGGTTGGGGTAGAGCTTCATGCTGAGGGCTGACATATATTTCGTGGCTTTTAGGGTTTCGTTCACCAAGGGGGGGCCAGTTACCGTCTGCCCAGGATTTTACCTGGCAGGGAGCACTTGTATGACATTGCATCTCCACCTCCCGACCTGTAGCTTCTGTGTGCACCCAGCGCCGCCCTTGCAACACATATCAACGGAGTTGCAGTATGTATGCAGCTGGTCGTCTTGATGCACTTAATGACTAAGCCTAACATCACGTTATCAACTGGTGATTGAAAGCCTCTAACCAGGTGTCCCAGATTTGATGTGAGCTATGTTTCATGCTCTCATAATATATTTGCACAAAGCTAACCTAAAGATGCTCTTTCTCCAAGACGACGGTTAGGAAGCATGGGCTAGAGCGTAAGCAGTACGTTGCAGAGGACTGGTGCATCATCAGGCAGGGTATTTTCAAGGTCTCTTAAGAGCGGCATACTGCGTCAGCAATCGCGCTTCGCTCATAGGAGAAGTTAGGGTAGGCGTACAACACGTACGATCGTTATTGAAAAAGTATGGATCGTCCAGAGCGGGGGTAGTCTCTTGGTGCAGATCGAAAGAACATGATGAGAAGAGGCTTAAGCTTGGCTTAGATTAATAATTTGCGTCCCTTGACGGAGGTCCGTTGTGGGGGATCCACATGTCCGCAGGCCGGCACGGTTAGTACAGCATGTCATGCCTACTGCCAATTGCAAACGCGGATTTGCAGCGCAAGCTTCCAGCACGATCGAACTCCACACCTCAATAACTTATATTGTTATGAGCCAACTTAATTTGCACCTCCGAAACGCGAAGACCTTGGCCTTGGAATGCCTTTTCAGCTTCCCCAGGGTTCTAGGTCAACCCGTTTCCGGACTTCCTAACATTTCAGTGGCCTGAGAGCTCAACTGCTAATCCCTGATGGTACTGTCATGGCTTTGATGCGCAAGGCTTCGTGGGCAGTAGCTGTCGTTTGAGCTGCAACTCCATGGAAGCAGACTGCCAAGAATGCCCGCACGAAAGGCTTGAATACGGTGTCCAAGCAAATGAAACGAACACTATTTTTGGTCTGCTTAATTCCTGGTTCCTGCCGATGCCTCCCGCAAACTCGAGGCTGTGTCGGGCATCTCGTGCCGGTGTTCGAGCAGGTGAGCCAAACGATAGAATCCAACGGTGTTAGGATTTCTGGCACACATTAAGCGCTTGGTTGTGTGGGTGGTGCGTTATAAACTTACGCCGGAACTGCCTGACTCCCTCCTCCCGCAAAACCTCCCAGTGCCGACCCTCACGGCCTCTCACCAACAAAACAGCAGACACAAACCAGACACACGGAAACAGGCCTCTGCAATGCGTGCGGATTTGCGCCAAGTTGCACAAACGCCAGGAGGCAGATTGATTAGCGAACGGGTCTGCGAAGTTGGCTTGGCAGCGGAGCGTGATCCCGCACAGCAGCAGCAGCATCGGTCTCCTCCGGACACAGACTTCCCCAACACAAGGGGGGACTTCCACGCCGTTCCGGACCACCGGATCACAGCGGCGTCTGCTTCAGACCCTGTGCACAATGACTTGCTAGCCGGGAGGCGCCTGTATCCACAGCAGCAGCAGCGTCTGGTACCAATGTGCTGGTCATCAGAAGCAGCCAATGTGCGGTGTGATGATGTCTGGACCAGCCGGAGCACCACCTGCAGTGGCCGCAACAACGGCTGCTGCACTCCCGGCAGCGGCCCTGACCCCGCAGTCCCCCCACCCCCGGGGGCAGTGGGTTCGCTGAGCGGGGGGCCCACAGAGCCCTCTACCAGGAACCGGGGGGGGACTGCGGGGCCCATACACAGCGCAGCAACTGCCTTCTCCCCCTCCTCCTCCCCCTCGCCCCCCTCCCCCTACTGGATGACGGACAGGGACACGGCCGCCCTGTCGCCATCAGCTACTACCACCTCTCGACCACCTCTCGATGGATGGGGGGGAATCAGCATTGCGGACAGCTCCATAACAGACAGCAGGCAGCGGCGGTCACCATACCAGCTGCCCGCTCCCAAAGACAACAACAACAACATCAACAACAACAACATCAACAACAACATCAACAACAACAACAACATCAACAACATCAACAATAACAGCAGCAGCAGCAGCAGCAGCTCCGTGTCAACCACCTGGCATGCAAAGCGCTATGGGTTGGGGGCGCCACGGGAGGATGCCCGTGTCCGGCCGCACGAGCTACCCCACAGCGGCAGCGGCAGCGACCCCAGTCCGAGCAACCAGCGAGGTGACTTCGGCGGCAACGCGGCGGACCACCCACACGGCGGATCCAACGACATCAGGGGCAACTCTGGGGGCTATGAGGTCTCCGATATCTCCTTCCTAGGGGAGGGGTCGGCGGCGGGCAGGCAGCCAGGTCCAGTAAGCAGGGGGGTATTACACGGGGGCCCCGCCAGCAGCAGCAGCAGCAGCAGGGAGTCCGCTGACAGCGCCGCCGCGCACACCCACGCTGCTGTCCCGCAGCGGAGCACCTTGGACGTCGTGGAGGCCGCCGGCAACCCGCGGCAGCCCCCGGCGGCAGCAGGCGGCGGCCAGCAGAGCGCAGCGGGTGCAGCGGTGGCCCCTTCCGCACTAGACGCCCGCGGGGTGCTGCTGCGGGCTCGGGCTGTGGCCTGGGCGCGAGCTCTGCGCCCCAGTGCCAGGTCCGAGGGCGTCGTGATGTCGGCGCTGTCCGGCAGCGGCTTCAGCCCACAGGACCCGCAGCAACCGCAACGGCAGGTTGGGGAGCAGCAGCCGGAGCAGCTGTGGCGGCGTCGCGGGCTGCAGTACCTCCTGCAACAACCTCCTGGAGTGGGGCTTCACGGTGAAAAGCAAAGTAGCAACCACCTCCACGACCACCTCCACGACCACCTCCACGACCATCACCATCACCACCAGCAGCAGCAGCAGCCACACATGGATATCTCCTCCCTGTTCCCGCAGGGAACCAGCGAGAGCAGCAGCTTGCCCAGGGCCGCCGCCTCCACCTTCACGACCACCACATCCACCACACCCACGGGAGATCCCGCTGGCCCCAACCCCTACGCCAGCCTGCAGGCGCAGCAACAGACCGTGCTGGAGTCGCAATTGCAGCGCCTGGCGGCTCAGTACGCCCAGCTGCAGTGGCGACATGACCGGCTGCGCAGTGCATACGATGCCCAGATGACGCAGCGGGAGCAGGTGATCAAGCGACAGGAGGACACGCTGGTGGTGCTCCGGAACCAGTGTCTGGTGCTACAGCGGCGCACCCAGGCGCTGCTGACGCACATGCGGTGCCCGGGGCCGGTGCAGGTGCCGGTGCCGAACGGCAGCAGGCCGCCAATGCAGGAAGTGGGCCCGGGGGGCTGAGCAACAGCAACACCTTGTGCAGGGCCGCCAGCAGCCTGTGTGCGCATGGGGCGCTAGAAGTGCAAGCGGGGTCGGGGCCCGGGTTGGGCTGCTCCGTGGGATCGGCCGCGGAGCGGGTGTGACATACATACATACATACATACATACATACATACATACATACATACATACATACATACATACATACATACATACATACATACACAACATAGCGATCTGGTTTATGAGCTGTGTATATATAGTCTGTGTGTTAGAATATACGTGTGCTTTAGCAGGGAAGCGCATTTCGCAAGTAGTGGTGGGTATCCTGGACGTTGCTTCTCCCTCTCCAGCCCCTCTCAAGCGCGTGCTGAGCACCGTGATGGATGTGGGGGCCGTGAGCTGGATTTGCTGGTTTGCAGCATTGGAACTCTGAGCCCTTGGGAACGAACCTGTGAGCACTGACGTCTCATAACTGGTTAGTCGGTGTGCCGTCGCACTGGGAGCAGCTCTTAGTCGGTCGTCGTTGATTATGATAGCGTCCTGGCTGTTTTCCCTCGTGTTCATTGCTTGGATGTTTGGACTTTTGCGTTGTACTACATCCCTAATATTTATGCTTGTGGCTCTTAGGCTCTTGGACCTCTGGCTCGTATGGGCCCTTTATACCTCTCTGGTTCATGCAAGCGAGGTGTAAAACACACATATACACACACAGCTCATAACCCCGATTGGGGGAAGAGAGGCGGGAAGAGGGGGAAGAGGGCTCTTTAAAACACGACGGCTCAAATTATATCAAGGTATCATCTGTGCTGTGACACGTGCGGATGCAGAACGCCGTTATGAAGGTTTTCCACGACCCCCGCCATCAGGTGGCACATCCGATTTGTGACAAGAATCATCCGTGTCTATCTGTATGCATGTGCGTTGGAACGCGTCGTAATCGTGTGATACTGAGTCGCGAGTAGGTAGGCGCCGATCAGGGATTGGGTCGTGTGTATGTGTATGTGGGGTGTACATGACTGACAGGCCCTGTTTCCCTCACAGGCCCGGGTGGGTAGGCCCCCCCTTAACCAGAGTGTTTACTGACAATCAATAGAGGGGATGGTTTTAGGCTTTTGCTGGTAGTGGTGGTGGTGGTGATGGTGCTGGCGGAGGATGGATGTTGGGCCGTGAGGGAAGTGCACAGGTTACAAGGCCTTTGACTGCCAGCACCACACCCGGCCATGTGACCCTACTCGCTCTCTGCTGGTGTATCCCCCGCGTATCTGTACCACCACCCCAGCAGTCGCCGTGGTCATCACCCGCAGCCTATAATAATAAACTGTTCTTGGCGTCGCCCACCAACCATAACTCTTAATGCTGACTGCATTCATGTTGTGACTGCTCCAGGGCAGTTTGCTGCCCGCGCGGTTGAGGGCAGCTATATATGTGAACGGCACTGGACGACACAGGGACAGGGAATGCAATGGCCCTTAGGGGCCCGAGCTCCCCCCCCCTAGTTCTTCCCCTCTGCCCCCCCTTGCCTCTGTTGTCAGGAGGACGGACGCCCTTAAAGAGGTGGACACAGGACTCGCGGGGCTGATCCCACGCGGGGCTGCCAGAGAGGACCGAAATGATCTGTGATTCCACACCGGTCATCAGAAAGCGCTCTTAAGAGCCGATATCACCGATCAGCACCAACCTCAACACCCAACACTGCCACAGCCAAAAGTCATCCCAACAAACTGCACACAGAAAACAGATTGTGTTGAGAACAAGATGAGACAAAGATAAAACTCCAATGTGGGGCTGAATCAGCCGGGGGGACAAATCTGGAACACGGGGGCCCCCGACAAGTAGAGAGTGAACTGGCAGGAGACCACCCCCCACTGGTATTACCACTAAAACTGCCAACCGCCGCGCCCTCTGCTGAGAACCGTTGGGGGTTGTATTTGGAGTGAGCACGGAGGCGTTGCGAGTAAACAAGCAACTTCGCAACCACGGGGCCCCCTCAGCCGCCCAACGCCAGCACGGGAGACAGCTCACCTGCGCCACCTGAGAAACACCACCTCCTAGGTCGGACTACTCTAGCTGCTGCTCTTTCCCTGCGGTTGGGATCGACACACCCACCGCCACTAAGACCCGAACACTGTCTTGAGGCGACCGAAGGAGGGGAAATGCCACGGGGCGGGTGACGAATAACCGGTAACAGTATATACGGCACAGAGGGCGCCCCCAACGAGTGAGGGGCTTCACACATCCGCGTGCCAGCTGGTCGTGCTGTACGACTGCGTTGGCGTTGGCGAGCCATCAGGTCTACAGTGCCCTCCTTCTAGCTGCAGCGGCAATAACGATCTAACCCACCTATCCCACGTATATCCCCACAACCCCACAACCGCCGCCGCCGCCAAGAGGCCGTAACAGCTTTTAGGTCAGATCCATAAGGCGCACCGTAAAGCCCCCTCCGAAAGCCCAAAGTGCTCACCAGCGTATGTGTGCCGCCGTGTGCATGAGGGGCCCCTGCGGTGGGTGCGTTGCTCCCCCCTTCCCCCTCCCCCCGCCCCGGAGGTGAGGTTCTTCCTCAAGTCCAAGGTCAGACAGCACCATGTGTTGTACACTGGGCCCAGGAAGCCGCCTACCCCAACCCTCGCTTCGCAGAGGCGATTCCGCGGTCAGTCATGTGCGTGTGCTGGGCCCTGGTGGCTCTCCATCCGGGAAGGGTGGGAACGGGGCCACCCTGGTGGAGCTCCCGCGCCCATCACCGCCCCCTGCACACCGCCCGCACCACACAACAGGTTTCCACTCCCCCCACCCCCACCCGTCCAAGAAGGCTGCCCCTCCCCTTAGCAGCGCATCAGATACCAACACGCACCACGACGATGGCACCCGCCGCGCTACAGACGAGTCACCCAAATATTCCCTCAAAAGAAACCATACCACCTCTACCCCAAGCCTCCACCTCCACCGCTCTGTACTCCAGTCGCTGGACCCACCCACATCCAATATTTCCCGTGACCCGCACGACCACGACAACCCCTACCTCCTCCTCCTCCTCCAGCCAAATGGCCAAGCGCCCAACCCCGAAAGCCCGCCCGCCCAAGCACCCAGCCCCGCAACCCACCACCTCGCAGCTGCCCCTCACCCTGCCACCTGCACCTCCCACCACAGCGGCGGGGAGCTGTCCAGCCGCCTCGTCAGCACCTCGCAGCCGTCCCGGGTGATCACCAGCGTGTGCTCAAACTGCGCCGAGCGCTTGCCGTCCTCCGTGACCGCCGTCCAGCCGTCCGGCCAGGTCCTGTCCCGCCAGGAGCCGGCGTTGATCATGGGCTCGATGGTGAACACGTGTCCCTCCTTCATGATGCCCACCGCCTTGTTGTGCGCGTAGTGGGGCACGTTGGGGGCGCAGTGGAACAGGTCCCCGATGCCGTGACCGCAGTACGACTTGACCACCTGGAACCTGTATGTAAGGTCAGGTGGGGAGGGGAGGGGTGGGGTGGGGGGTGGGGTCGGGAGGGGGGAGGGGTGGCTACCGCGGGGGTACCGAACGCGAGGGCGCTAGCAGGTAGTGTCATGCCATGGGTATCGTGTACCCGGCCCTGCTTCCCGCCCTTTCCACCCTTCACTGGCTAACCCCTACCCCTACCCCTGCCCCTAACCCCTACCCCTATCTCCCCCTCCCCCAACCCCTACCCCCAACCCCTACCCCCAACCCCTACCCCCAGCCCCTCCCCCCTCCCCTCCCCTACCTGGCCCTCCCCCTCCCCCTAACCCCTAACCCCTACCCCTGCCCTCCCCCTCCCCCTAACCCCTCCCCCTCCCCTCGCCTCCCCGTGCCCTACCCGTGCGCTGCTGCGTGTTTGGTGATGATGTCCCCCACGTCCCGGTATCTCACTCCGGGTCGGCAGGCGGCAATGGCCTTCATCAGCGCGTCGTGGGTCACCTGGATCAGCTTCTTGCCGTCCGCGTCCACCTCACCCACACAGATCGTCTCGTTGAGGTCCCCGTGGAAGCTGGAGTGGCGCCCGAGGGGGGCGGCGGGGAGGGGGGAGAGGGAGGGGGGGAAAGCACATGGAAGGGAGGAGGAAGGGGAGGGGAACCGCCATAGGACCAGCCAGCTATGATGCCGTACACATGCCGCAGTATTGATGTGGGTCGAGAGACACTATGGGTGCACGGGCGAGGGAGATGGAGAGGGAATCGAGAGGGAATCGACAACCCAAAATAAAATTCCGGTCACGTACCGAACATGCGGAGTGGTGCAAAGCCCCTCCCTCCCCTCCCCTCCCCTCTCCTCCCGCGAACCCCCCGTTGTCAGCCCCTCCCCTGACCCGCCCACCGCCTTAACACCCCCCCCACTTCACTCCTTTGATGACCGGTGAGGGACTCCATTCCCCCCCTAGAGGGTAGCCCCCTTGGCCCCCTTGGCCCTGAGACCGCCACCCCCCACCTACCCACCCCTGGTAGTAGGCCGTGACATCAATATTGAGGATGTCGCCGCTCTGCAGCTCGCGGGCGTCGGGTATCCCGTGGCAGATGACCTTGGGGGCGGCGGGGAGGGGGGGGGCGAGGTGCGGACGGACAAATGGTTAAAGAAGAGCCCCTTCGGGATGCGGGCGGAGGGGCCGGTATACAGAGCGGTAAACAAGTGACATGATAAATGGCAAGGCGGCAACTGAAGTAACCGCCAGGTGAAGTTGGCAACTACCTCTAACCGTCTAACGTCCAAACACGGGAAGCACTACACGTTGGGAATGTAACACAAAATGGCAAGGCGGCAACTGAAGTAACCGCCAGGTGAAGTTGGCAACTACCTCTAACCGTCTAACGTCCAAACACGGGAAGCACTACACGTTGGGAATGTAACACAAAATGGCAAGGCGGCAACTGAAGTAACCGCCAGGTGAAGTTGGCAACTACCTCTAACCGTCTAACGTCCAAACACGGGAAGCACTACACGTTGGGAATGTAACACAAAATGGCAAGGCGGCAACTGAAGTAACCGCCAGGTGAAGTTGGCAACTACCTCTAACCGTCTAACGTCCAAACACGGGAAGCACTACACGTTGGGAATGTAACACAGACCCCTTGGGTCGCAACCGCCAGCCAGCTGCACCCCCATGGGCCCCCCTAGAGAGGACAATACCGTGGGGCCGCTACGAAGGCATTTCATGGCCGAGGGCCGCTACTAGGAAGGACGAGTGCTTGAGGACGGGCTCCGCCGTTGCTCCTCACACGGGCAGGCAGGAAGGCAGGCACTCCGCACTACAGCGCTAATATCGAGTAGCCAGGATTGGATTGACCCCCGGAAAACCCCCGGCCGGCCGGTGGGTCCCGAGCCCTCCAGCTCCCCCCCACCCGCCCCTTCCGCAGCACCCCTCCCCACCCTCACCTCGTTGATGGACGTGCAGACCGATTTGGGGAAGTTGAAGTAGTTGAGCGGGGAGGGGTAGGCGCCTCGCTCAATCATGGCCTCGTGCACGATGCGGTCCAGCTCGTCCGTGGTCACGCCTAACACACCCCGAACAGGACAGGACCGAACAGGACGCAGCCAATGGCGCACAGGGTGGTGACGGGGGACGCACCTGCAGCAGTGACAAGGCTGCAGTACGGCGCTATGAGGCCACCGCCAGCACCACGGGGGGCGCCCAAGCTGGAATGGCGGACCCAGGCTTCCCCGCCACCGGCCCTCACGCGACCCCCCACTACCCGCCAACAAGCATCCGCACCTCCTTGAGAGTGGGCCCGGCAGCCCCTCCCCTCCCCTCCCCTCCCCTCCCCTCCCACACGCTGCAACCGCGTTGCAGCTCGCACTCAGCTCGCTGGCACCGCATCGCCCTCGACGCCCCACACCCACCCCGGAGCACCAGGCTGCGAATCAAGCCCTGTACCCCTAGTGGCAGTCCTCCCCGACAGACCCAGCCCGACCGACACACGGGGCCCCCACCCACTCACCCACTCACCCGGCTTGGCGGCTGCCGCAGCGAGGTCCAGCACCTCCCGACCGATGCGGCATGCGGCTCGGATCCCGCCAATATCATCGGGTCCGCGAATAGGCACTGCGTGTGAGTGGGCACCAACCACCAACCGACTCCCCAATGAGGTGATGTGAGGGCTGAGAGAGAACGGAATATCATCCATGCACGACGGCAGGAACGGAATGTCGTCCCTGTTGTGGTGCAGTGCTTGAGATTCCCCCCTTTCCCCGCGCGCGCTTGCAGGCACGGAGGGCTTCGTGGGCCCGCCTCTGGAGGTTGCGAACGGAGATGGATGGACAGGAGGACGCCTCCCGACCGGCAAGGTGTGTCCGGCTCTACGCGGCTAGCTGAGTGGGATGACCTCTTCCCAGCGAGCTGATCAGCGAGCATACATACTCCTCAACCCAGTCCTTACTTCAAGTAAATCAAACACAATGGGTACGTCTCCCGACTCAGTCCCGCACCTAAGAGGCGGGGTCCCCCCCCACCCCCCCACCTCCCACCCCCCCACCTCCCACACCCCGGGCATCTCTCATCATCTCCAGTAGCGCAGCTGGTCAGTCCACTCCC